AGTCTGTGACGGTCTTCGTGGCATCCAAATACTGCGTCCTCAGGAAAAAGGGGTTTATTTGTGAGGTAAATTTTATGGTTCAGGCTTTTATTAATTCATTAGAAGGCCTGTGGAATGGAATGAAAAGCCTGGCTCATGGCCAACGTCTTAATGAACTGATAAAAATCTGTGCTGTAAACTGAACTGGGCTGCTTTTTTTTTTTTCTTTCTTTCTTTTTTTGGCATCAGGAGGCGGTTTTCTCCAGGCGCTTCTAATCCATTATCCTCTTTCCCTGGGAGGAGAGAGAGGGGAGTTGGGGTCCTTTGTTTGTAGTCTTGGTGCTCTGAATGTGTGCCCCTGGGACGTGTGCTTTTTTGGGCTTTGAGGCAGCGTGTGAAATGGCTTTCTCTGAGGTAAAAAGACTCGTTCCTGTGAGTTTGATGTGCTTGTTCTCCTGCTGGGGGGGGGGGAGTTCAATTTGGAGTTCACAGGCAGGCATCTGGGCAGATGGATCTTCAAGGCATCTGGGAAGCATCTTGCCCGAAGCCACTTCCCTTCTCCCTTGTGCACAGTTTGGGCTGAGCAGATTTGAACTCTTGATTAGGGAAAAAAAACCCCACAAAGTGGAAAATCTGGAGCGCAGCGAGATGAATCAAGTAACAGCCCAGACACGTTTTTGCTGGTGATCACTGGGACTTATTTCAAAGGGAATGTTTTCTCTTTTTGTGTGTGTGTGTGTGTGTTTTTGTTTCATTTCATCAAATCTGTGTTGGCTTTTTTGGCAAGGAAGGATGCACAGTTCTGCAAGAAACGCTTCTGTCGTGGCTCTGATCTCGGCTGGTACGGAGCGGGGAGGCTGCACGTGCTCCCTCTGCTTAAGGAATGGCTGGAAGAGGGGAAATTTGGGTTGTGTTCCCAGCCCTGGCCCATCAGACTGCTCTCCGGGCTGTTGCTTCCCGTGGATTTGTCAGTGTTTGGTGTCTTCTGTGGTTTTATTAGTTTATACTTGAAAAGCTGAGGTTTGGACTTTCTCTCTTCCACTGTTTTATTCCTTCAAGGCCAGGCTGGATGGGGCTTTGAGGAACCTGGTCTGGTGGGAGGTGTCCCTGCCCATGGCAGAGGGGTTGGAACCAGATGATCTTTAAGGTCCCTTCCAACTTTAACCATTCTGTGATTCTACATGTCCTTCCTGTCAGGCTGTTTTGACCGAGCTGGGACGTCCCGTGCTGTGAGGTTCTCTCAGGAATCCCTCGGCCTCTTCTTTACCTGCATCTTCTAAAGTGTTGGCTAAAACAGGGACTGCCAGCTCCTGTTCCTGTGTCTTCCTGCTGATCTCACCCTTTGTTTGCTCTCCTTGGGGCACTGTTTAATCTACCCATGGAAGTTAATAGGTACTGATCTCCCAGGTGAGATCTCTGCAGGAGATGCTAGTAAATATCTAACCAAGGTGATACCTATCTAGGTACTTGTGCAGAGCAACTTGCAATCTTCTACGTGCACACAACCTCTCACAGCGTCTGCAGAGAGATGCTTTAGTGTCTTGCTGTGCCCAAGGTAAGGTTAAAGGATGAGCAGGAGTCGTATGGAGTTGGGGAAAGGCACCAAAGTGTCTGATGTCCCAAGGAAGTGTCCTTGACTACCCTGCCTCACGTGTCTGACTCATGGCTGAAAAAAACCTCTGGAGGCTCCTTTTGAGGTGCGCTGAGCTCCTGGTGCTAGAGGGGTCATCCTCCCCCTGTGCCCTGGGGAGGTCCCATCTGGAGCACTGGGTCCAGTTCAAGAAGGACAGGGAACTGCTGGAGAGGGTCCAGCAGAGGGCTACAAAGATGATGAGAGGCCTGGAGCATCTCCCTTAGGAGGAGAGGCTGAGGGACTTGGGTCTTTTGAGTCTGGAAAAAAAAAGGCTGAGGGGGGATCTGATCAATGCTGATAAATACTTAAAGGGAGGGTGTCAAGAGGATGGGGCTGGTCTTTTTTCTGTGGTGCCCAGGGACAGGACAAGAGGAAATAGCACAAACTTGAACATAAGAAGTTCCACCTCCACATGAGGAGGAATTTCTTTCCTTTGAGGGTGGCAGAGCCCTGGCAGAGGCTGCCCAGGGAGGTGGTGGAGTCTCCTTCTCTGGAGACGTTCCAAACCCACCTGGACACGTTCCTGTGGGACCTGCTCTGGGTGGCCCTGCTTTGGCAGGGGGTAGGACTAGATGATCTCCAGAGGCCCCTTCCAACCCCATG